AGCCGCGTGTTCGATCCACAGCCGCAAAAAACCTGCGGCTGTTAAACCAGAAATGGCCTTTCCGGCAATACTATTCTGCTTATATCACTAGCCATTGTGTGGCCGCTTTCGAGGCTCGTGCGTGAGACCCAAGGTCAATGTGTATGTCCTTTAACTCGATCCATGAGCGCTCCAATGCCAACGGTGAAGACGTAGGCATACTAAAACTGGGGCATATAAAACAGGGGAATAGGAACCGCCCTGTAGTGCAAATGGTCTTGCGCTAACTTGCAAAGAGACCCAGATGAGAGCTAAGGTCTGGCTTGTAGCTAAGGTAAATAACGTTGGGTAGGACGAGTGTTTTGTTTAATGGTTTGATGGTTTAGTCCCATTAGGAACTAAGTGTGAATAGGAGGCTACTATGTCTACTTGAGCCTCTGGGCCATCTTTTAGGAGATGAGATAGCAGCAACCGTACAGGTGTCAGTTGTAGGAATTTGCGTCTCAGTTTTTAATAAATCCAGGGAGAAAAAGACACCATTAACTGGCGCAGATTGCGCCCTTTCCAGTGTTCAGTATAGTGATCGATAGATGGATAGGGAGATGGGGATAGTTTATCCTTTCTAAACTATAAAAAATTTCGGGTTCTTGGTCCCTGAATCAGCCTCTTTTCTTATGAAAGGCAGCGAAAAGAAAGTTTAGGGTGGATGCGACTATTCTCTGTAAAAAAATAGGATAAAGTAGAGCCTGAAAAGTGGGAACAGTTGCCGCCTTGATAGTTCCATCGGTGAACTCATAGATATTCAGTCGGCAGATTGTATGAATAAAAAGACTTAAATAAGATGATGTGCTCGTTGCTTGCTTAGAAGTGCACACGCGAGTAATAATACACGTACTAACTAAAGGTATCGTGGATAATTAAGCAGGTTATATTGAGAGAATTTTATTCGCTTGACGTTTTTAAATCCGTTGGGATCCATAATCAGTGACAATGTAAAACCTGTTTCTGCTATTGTTTCTGGTGATGGATTCCCAACAAATTTTGAAGCGATAGTCGAATAAAAGTCATATTCCAACGATCACATCTGCTTCGTCTCAATTACTTCCTGGGACTCGCTTTTTTGCTTCCATTGGCAACGTATATGTTTACCAACCCGTCTGGGGAAATCGCGTATATTATGCAGTTATTTCGCGGAAACTGACAGACTTCAGTCCAAACATCCGCACCAACTCTCCAACCGAGCCTGAGAAGGAGCATTCCAAAGGGTTTAATTGCCGTTCGCGCATTTGTTTCGCAGGAAATAAAACGAAGCCAACAAAACCGATCATTTTCTAGATTTTTTTCTTTGGTGGTCTGCATCTCAGCTTCCCGCCTTTTGCAGCGCTCTGTCTAAGCTGGCTGGGAGATTTAAGCTCTCTCTCCCTCTGTAGAGCACGTGTTCGCTTCCCAAGATCTGAGCGGGCGGCCCAACACACGCTTGACGGAAAATTAAAATAAACGACTCGCCAAACTTATTAATTGACTTTGTCAACCATGAGAAAACTAGGGGGATATTTACCTCTTCCAGCCACAATGCGACCGGACATTCAGGCACAATGCCGAAGAATTGATAATCAATCGCAAACCAGTAATAACACCTTTTATGAAAACTTTGAAATAATAAGGAACAACCATAGACGCATTTGAAACTTCAAGAAGGTATAAAATCACTAATTTTTTTTGCCTAAAAATTAAAATTTCGAAGGAAAACTCAAGTTCCGCAGAAGTGCAAAATAAGCACAAATAATTTAAGTATGTGCTACTATGATTGGCAAGTGAAATCATACCCATACCATGTTCAATATATCACAAAAACCTTCCTTTTGTAAAATCTCTTTATGCATATTTCATGTATTGGATTACAATTAGTTTCAGATTGTCCTTAAAATTCCGGCGGATTTTCGACCATTTCAGTGTTTTCAAGCTTTTTTCCATGAATGTGGATTCTGTTCGATATTTGTCTCATAACCTTTGAAAGAAGATATTTCTTAAAATAATGTGCCGAAACGTGCATTGTTGAATATTTGTTCTTACGAAGATAGCCTTGCAGGCCATGTTTCTAAACTATTAAAAGTACGAAAACTCATTGTCGAGCAAACAGAACTTCCACAGCAGAAGTCCGATATTGAAATGCCCAAGTTTGATTAAAAAATCTTTCCATATTAGGTTGTCTCTTTAAAAAGCCCTTTAATTTGATATTTAACTGACGAATCTCAGTTCATGTAATACCGGAAATAGAGATTTTTACAAGTTTTCATTTTTAAAATTACCTGAACATAAATGATACACTTTTGTCTACAAATGAAGGAACTTACTTTCCTGATTATATTAAGGTGTTTTCGTATAGTGGATTACTTTTAGGCACCGTTCTAAGATTGTGAATTTAAAAGGCTGGCCGAATATATACTAAGACTAAGCGAAAATTTTTAAGTTTTTGTCTGTTTCGCTTCTAAATTGCACGATATTAGAAGTTATCTTCTACAGAAGAATACGTTTTCACATGCTTTACCGTTAATAATATTGTTATTTTCCTTCGTTTGCATGATTAAATATATGCTTTTTCGTTTACCATAACAAGACTTTGATATGCTAAAACATAATGCAATCGAATTATTTTACTGCGTTTAGTCACAAAAAAATTTCTGCCATCGGCAAAAAGTACTTAGAAATATGAAATTGTTCCTTTATTTCTGAAAAACAATGCGATTCCCTAAACTTGATTTCGTCTGTTTTTTTATCATCTTCAGACTAGACTTTCCGGTTCTGAAAGGGATGTATTTTAACTTTTTCATACTGATATTGGGATTTTCCCATACCATAACGCATATAAATGAAATCTTTTTTCGTTCGTACGTAATAGCATAGGAATTTTTTTCAATATCAGTCAACCTCTGCCTATCACCCTCAAATAAAATAGACCGAATGTTCAGTTTGACTTACTCAAAAGCTTTATCAGGATCAAACCCAGTCAACAGATTAGAAAAACGTTAATAAATGCATCTTCACCTAAAATATCCACTTTTGAACATGACTTTGCATGAACTCTCTTATATTCTGTCCCTCTCTCAGGTACACAGACGGTTACCGTCCATGCTTTTTTTAATCCTTTTTTTCGCAGTGGAGGAACAGTAGGTACCTGCACTTGGCGGACAAAGGAATAGAAGGTTTTTTTTCTGTATTAAATATTTACTTGGCCAATCAAAACTGGGGGCTAGGTTTTCAATTTTGGATTGACTTGAGAGTTGAGATGGGTGATGAACAAGCGCATGAGCGCCATTTCCTTGTCTGTGTAGTTAATGCTGCGGGGTCTTTGAAGTGCAGCTTTCTCAGGACCTAGCAAAAAAGTGGCTTGTAGGAGATATTTGCGATTGGTGGGGCGTTAGATGCTTCCCCAGATTTGAGACAAGCAAAATCGCAAAAGCATGACCGCCTAAGTAATCAAACATCTCGCCCCATGCAACCCCTCCTTTCCTCTAAATTCCAGCATAGACTCTAGTTCTAATTTTTAACGATTATCCACAATGCTGCCGTTGCGACTGACTCTCACTATGTTTTCCACTTTAAAAAATACATGCAACCCAGCGTATACTCCAAATCCTAATCCCGAACGACCTCACCACAAGCTTGCACTTGCCAAACGAGCAATTATTCGCTGTTCTTTGCTTTTTTTGCGTTGTAATTATATGGGAAAAACGGTTTTTTAATAGTTTCTAAAATTTTAAAATTTATCTTATTCTTCCTGAAGCTTCGAAAACAAGCGGGCGGAGGTCTATTCCACGGATCCACTTCCCAACAGACAACCCACTTCTAGAATTGAATTCTGCCAAGTGCAGTCGGTAAGTTCCCTAACTGGTTCGAAATACACCAAATGGGCCTTCATTCAGTATGCCTGAGGATTTTACATCTAACATGTCCGAAGACACTGCCAGTGGCGAGAGAAGCAGTCTAAATAAAAGATTATATTTAGATTTGCATAGAATTCAGTGGTAACCAAGTTCGCATCCGGCTAAGGCCTAGCATGTAACTCCGTTTCGTTGTTGTACAAGAACCATCTTCTTATTTTATTTGGGTAGTAATGATTTACTGCAGTTTGTTGGGCAATAATACGTCAAAGAGGTTTGGGGTTTACGGTAGGTAATATGATTTTACGCTCAGATTAGGTGCTTTATGGGGGAGATTAGTGAATCAAGCGTAGGTTAAGTATTTAAGACTAGAGGTTAGGTGTTTTGATTTAGGGCCAATGATTTGAATTCAGTTTTTGAGGCTACAATTAGATTTAGCTGTTTACAGTTCGTCGTTTATGTTAGGACAACGGTCACGTGTTGCGGTTGGATTTAAAAAGTTGCAAATATTCCCGCCAGATACTTCAGAAAGGCAGTTGGTAAGAATACGTAAGCTTTTGATAAATTATTATCGAGCTAGTACACGTATGTGGGAACGGAATAGAAGATGAAGCATGTTCATCTTTTCATACAATGGAATAGCGGAAAAGGTGGGGGCATTGGGATCGATGGGCGAAGGCTGGTTACGCTGTGGCGAGGGTTTGGTGGAGTTGGTCCACGGACAAGGCGGAGAGATAAAGAGAGAGCGCGGATGAGTACATGCATACCTTGGCAGATGAAAAAAGTACAATGAACCCCGCTAATATTTGCTCCAACGTGGGGAAGTGGTAGCATTTTTAAGAAGAGTCAACATTTAGCTGGATTTTTGAGCTGACAAGGTGAAAAGCTATCTGTCATAATAGTTTACAATAATGCTCAAGCTTGCGCGAGATATGTGCAGATAGATTGAGAGATTTGTTTTATTGCCTGCCAACCTACATTTTTTGTCCTGGGAGACACAGATAACACCGAGGTCTATGTGTATACTTAATGCAAATGTACATATATGCTTCGTTTTTTCACAAACGACCACCAAGCGATACAATTACAGGCTGGAGTATTTACGGAGCCTAGGAACAAGCAAATGCTATATTGTACTCCCAGCAATTTCTCAGGACGAAGCTGTCATCGGTAGTTGATTATGCAAGAGAATAAGCTCTTTTTCAGTTTTGCTCTTGCTAATGATTCGGATTTAAATAAAATTTTTTTGGATGAGTGAAGTAGTTTGCATTCCGAGGTGATGTTATAAAAAATAAGGTCTCCGGAAAATCGAATTGCATGAAGTGAATTTCCGAGCAAGTAACAACACCGGCGCGTCCTTAGACGAAATGAAAAGTGGGGAATGGGATCGTCGCACTAGAACGTTTGGTGGAGTCGTGTAGGCAGACAAAACTTCAAGGCAGAAGTAAGGATAAACATGTCGCAGTTGGTGTTGGAGGTGAGGAGAGGGATGTTCAAAGTCAGATAGGGTTCGTGTGTCAGGGGGGGATACCGCATCTTGTGTACCGACAACCTTTGAAGCCTTTTGTTATCTCGTCAAATTTTTGCATAACGTAAACCCCGTAGTTACCTTAATGTAGAGGTCCTGTGGAAAAATCATCCAATCAATGTCCTTTGTTCTCATTTTCATCGTATGCATTAGTTTTCGTCTATGCTCACTCAAAGGCAGGAAACAAAAGGGTACACAGGGACGACCACCTTAATCACTCAAACCTACCAGACAGAAGAAGAATAACTACTGTGAAACGTATAGTTTTATTCGCTTTGCTTGAATTTTAGTTCACGGTTCCAGTAA